CTCTTGGAACCCTAGAGAGCATTAGAGAGGAAGAAAAGGGAAAAACAAGAGATTCAAGGGTGATTTAAGATCAAATATTCTTGTTCTTCACACCAAAACTAAGGATTCAAGGTAGGAGTTTTCTCTCATTCACTTACATTGAGGCTAGAATATTTATATATATATGTTTTGGCTATCAATGGTATATATATGTTATGGAATCACCTTTTCTTAGGTTTTTTGCAAGGATTACATGTTTTGAACAAAATAGGGTTTAATACTCATGAAATCTCATTTCTAGTTTTAAAACCCTAATTTTTGGAGAGTGATGTATTTCCTTCCTAAATGCTTTCTTTATTATGAATTTCGAAATATTAGTGCTTTGTGTTGGGTAGAAAAATGATGTTATTGTGATCTCATATATTTTTTTAGTTGGTTGTGGAATTGTTACATGATATATTTTAGAAATTTTGGATAGATGCTTGTAAATTGAGATAAATATTGGAATTGTATGCTTGGTTGGGTTGTTTGTGATGCATATGAGTGAGAGATTCCTTGTAAGGAGGCTGACCCCTTCCCAAGAGGTTCCCGGTAAGGATACTTGAGAAATAATGTAGTGATTGGTGAGAGGTTCCATGTAAGGATGTTCATCCATTTTCAAGAGGTTCCCGGTAAAGATGTTTGAGAATTAAAAGTGACCTAAAGGGGGGTGGAGGTTACCACAAAGTATGTCACCTACCGAAAGAATTGTTGAGAATTGATTATGACAATTAATGGTTATTATTTATATGTGGTGCTCGTTTATTCATTTTAGTAATGTTTTTAAATAAACTTGAAATCACTTTTAAATGTCACTTACTTTATTTCAAATTATATATCTATGTTATGTTAAAATTGAGACCAACCGTTTTAAATGTTTTTCTAAACCTTATATGAGTTTGAGAGAATTTTTCTACAGAGCTTCATGCTCACCCCCTCTATCGCTAACATTTTTTATATTACTCGCTTGAGAAGAACGTAAGGGTCGAGGAGCCCGCTACTTGGGAGACTTCATTGGACGGGAGTGTGGATCCCGAGGTGGACACATAGAGCGACCTCCTTTCTTTTGTACTAGACTAGAACATTCTTTTGGAACATTGTGTAGTCTAACTTCTTTTGTTTATTCCACTGTGCTTCTTTAATTAATTTTTGAGATGTAATAGTCATGACTTGGGTTTACTCTTTTGAATAATGTTGTAAATATTCGTGGATGACAAATGAAGTCTTGTTTCTTAAGGGATTATATTAGTGCTCTCATGATATGAATGATTTTAGAATGTAATGTCGTTCAGGGTGTGTTTTGGGGCGTTATAGAATTACACTTCTAGCATTTAAAATATTACACAAGTTGTCTAAAATTTGTATGCACATAATTCCTAGACTCTTGTTATTAATGTCCGTTACTATATCTGTTAGTAAATTATATTTAGACTCTTTAAAGTTTATAAGTATATAATACTTAGACACCTCAAGTTTAAATTATTATAATTAGACCAAAAATACTCCACTCAAACATAGAATATCAAATGTTTTAAATTTTAAAACAAAAATTCATGTTTTATTATGACATTATTAGAATAAAAATAAAAATAAAAAATTTAATTTTTCTTAAAAAATTATAATTAGTATACAATTATACTATCTATTGAAATAAAACTAAAAAATTAAACAAGGGGACCAAACTATAATGGATACAATAACTTGTAGCTATAATTGGAGTAATTTGCTACAAAATCAAATAAGTCAAACTATAATGGACACAATATCTTTTAATTTTAATTGAAGTAATTTAGTAGTTTAATTTTGTACTAATTATGATTTTTTACAAAAAAATTAGATTTTTATTTTTGATTTTATTTCAATAAATAACTTAATAAAACAGGAATTTTTGTTGTAAAATTCATGTTCTATTGTGAATGACTTAGATCCCTTATTTGATTTTTTAGTTTTATTACAATAGATAGTATAATTATATATGGAAAAATTTCAGTCACAGACCCTTTTTTTGATTTTTTAGTTTTATTACAATAGATAATATAATTATATATGGAAAAATTTCAGTCACACTTCTGCTAGTTTATTATATCTTCAAAGACACCCCTCTAATATAAAAAATATCACTAACACCCACTACAATTAAACTATCATTTCTAACAAAAAAAAAATCACCTAAAATACTAAAAATGCCCTTACATAAATCTCAAGTAATTTTTCTACATAAATTTTATTAAAATTCAAGCCGAATAAAATTTAATTTTTTATATATTAAAATTTGAACCAATTAAAAATCGATAAAAACTGATTAAATTTTATTTTTTAAAGTATTAAAATTCAAAATTATTAAAATTTTATTTTTTACGTATTAAAAATTGAGTCAATTTGAACTCTACCCGAGTTATTGGTGTCAAATAAAATTCACTTTCGAGTCTACTAAAATTTATATTTTTATACTTACTAAAATTCATGTCAATTAAAATTTGATTTATTAAAATTTGAATAAATTAAAATTTATATTTTTTATGTTTTAAAATTTATACTGATTAAAATTCAATGCGAGTTGATTAAAAATAATTTCTAATTGACTTAAATATAATTTTACTTAGCCCAAATTTTAAAAAGTAAATAAATAAATTTTAATCGGCTCAAATTTTAATATGTAAAAAAATAAATTTTAATTAGCTTGAATCAAATTTTAATTGACCTGAATTTTAATACGTAAAAAGAAAAACAGAGGGGTTCTCATTGAAGATATGTTTTTTTAGAAGGGATGTAGATGAAGTTTATTCTCAAATATATCAAGGACAATTTAGTAAAATTGCATTGTAGTTAATATTTTTAATCTAACAGGGAGTGTTAGTGAAGATTCAAAAAATAAAAGAGGTGTCCTTAAAGATATGATAAACTAAAGGGGGTGTGATTGAAAATTTTCCATTATATATTAATTACAATTTTTTAAGAGAAATTAAATTTTTATTTTTAATTTTATTTTAATAAATCATATAATAGAATATGAATTTTTGTTGAAAAATTTAAAATATTTGATATTCTATCTCTAATTGGAATAATTTTTGTCTAAGTATAATATTTTAAACTTGAAGAGTCCAAGTATTATGTGTCTATAAACTTCAGGGGATTTAAGTATAATTTATTAACAGATATACTAACCGACATTAACGACATGGATCTAAGTGTTATACCCGTACAAACTTTAAGAAGTTTGCATATAATATTTCAAATATCAAGAAATCTAAGTCATTAAGTGACAAATCTTAAAAAGTCTTAGATGCAATTTTCACTAAAGAATTATTAAACTTAAATCAAATTTTAACGGGTCCAGATAATAAAAGGCTGAGCTTACCAAGCTCATTCGAGTGGACTTGCCAAGCTCATTTAATGACTATATCGACGTAAATCTAGTTAAACAAAACACAAATATGTCTAAGCACGGCATAAATTCAAAATAACACGTACTCGACTATAAATAGATATAAATAGATCGCATATGAGTTGAGCAAATCTTGAGACGACACAACCATTAGCCAACCAAACTTAGCATGGAACCTCATGTCCTCATTCTTTGCAAGTTACGACTATAGCATATATTGACCATTGAAGAAAATAAAGAAAAGCAAATATTCCATATTCGCTGCAATGTATGTGTATACCTGCGGATTTCCGACGACCGCGAAGTACATGCCTGTAATATAATGATTAGCCAAAGCCATTTCTTCCACTGGCCCTATCAAGTTTGACATTGCCATGCTTGAGTTCTTGAGAGTTCTGTGAACGTACTGGGAGGTTGCCTGCAGCACCATGTTAACCAGAATGGTAAATTATACTTTGACCCTCATTTTTTTATTTACTTACACTGTCTCACATTGTTCCATCAACTATTATGATCATTACCAATTTTAGTGTTCCTCAAAGCACTTAAATGAAATTTGCAATCAGTTTCGACAGAAAAATATTGATTTTATGTTAACCAAATGATAGACAACAAAAACTTCTATTTCATAACAAATTTGGTCACTTCCCATTGAAAACATGACTCATGTCTGGTTTTGGGAATTCAAATAGTTGAGGGGATAACATAAGATTGAAACTATAGTTGAAGAAGTCTAATATAATTTTTTCTATTTAAAAAACCTACGTTTTATATCGTCGGTAAAAATGAAATTTCTTATATTGAAACTATAGCCCCGGTCTCACATTACCCCACTACTTGAATTAGTTTCATATAGTTTTCTCACAAGGAATTTCATATTTAGAATGACAAAAAAGATTAGTTTATTTCTAAAATTTTGACCCCTTCAACTATTTTTTTGATATCATTTTCCCTAACTATTCACTTCACAAGGAGGATATAGAAACTCAACAAAAAAAGAATTAGTTTCATATTACCCAAAACAAAAGGACTTTATATTTTTCCCGAAACATACCTTGGTGGCATTAGATTTTGGTGCAAAGTGAAATGCATTCATATAGTTTGGAAGGCAAAGTAACAAAATTTTCCATTTAATTTTAAACAAGCGCCTACTATTATAACAATGTGAAACCAATAACTATAATAGTAGATAAAGTGAGAAATACGACAGATAAGGCGGCAACGTGAGACATGATCACAAGAACAGTGGGTCTGAAAAACACACCATGCACATTGGATGAATATAATTTACCACTGGACCTCTTAGTTTTCTCATGGCCTCTATATTCTCCTAGTGAAGTGAATAGTTAGGGAAAATGAGATAAAAAAAATAGTTGAAGGGGTCAAAATTTTAGAAATAAACCAATCTTTTATGTCATTCTAAATATGAAATTCCTTGTAGGAAAACTATAGCCACGATTTCAATTTTCCCATAGTTACTCAAATAGGTCCCAACTTTCTCAAATATCTAATTTAAAACAAATGATAGCTATTATGACAACGTAAAAAATCAATAACCATAATGAGATGTAATGTAAGAAACACGACAATTAAACATTTAATTAATAAAATTTACCTCTGGACCTCTTAGTTTTCTCATGGCCTCCAGTAACGTACTAGTGAGGTGAACAGCAAAAGAGTTCCTTTTCCTTTTAATGAGTTGATGTGCCTTGAGAATAAAGCTGAGAGGGTCTGAAGATTCAGCAACACTTAACTTGGGTATAGGAATGTGCAGGAATCCGAAATTGTTCCCCCATGGCATCTCAGAATCAGGTTTAAGCATTTCACTTATTGACTTGTAACCTGCCACGGCTCTGGTGTTGAGCACCACCAGTGCAGTAGACTCTGCATCACCCAACTCATGGCTTGTTGCTTGCATGTATAATCGAGTTCCAAGGAAGATTATTCCGGTAATCACGTCATTTATCGTCTGTTTAGAAATAAATTAATGTTCAGATGATGATAATCGAAAGAAATTCTATAGCAGAAGAAATATATAAAAAGATGATAAATAGTACCATGAAACCCCAAAAAGAAAGATATCCAAAAACCTAGCTAATAGTTAAAAACTTTCTTCTTTCTTTTTTTTTTTTGTTGTGCAATGGTCGGGGTCCAAGCCAGCTTACACACACCTTGACTAATTCCCTCTCTAGTTTAGTCAAAAACAGATCATTCACGCCAAAATTAATGCATTCACGAGGGATTATCCCTCGTGGTCTAGCCTTAATGAGTTTACAAGATTCGAAATCAGAATGTCTGGATTTACAACTCATTTTTATTACTAATTGAACTATCCCTTAGGTTAATAGGTAAAAACATCCAAATAGTAATTCTTGTACAAAAATCTTAACCTCCAAACCTGATTATTTGAAAAACAAAAAAAAAAAAAAAACAAAGAAGTTTTGACCCTCACGGTGCTATGCCTAACAGATTAGATTTTGTACCAAATTAGATTGATCTTAATTTGAGTCATATTTAAGAACTCTAATACGAGTTCAGTTTGATTATGCAACAAACTTCATTACCTTGGAGAAAATCAATTGTTCGACTTGAAAATCCAAGTTGATCGGGCATTGATATTTTTACATCCTAAATGAATGTGAAAATTGGATCAAAAGGTTCCATAAAAAAAAAAATATGCATGTTTGATTTGAAATGTGCAAAATTTAGAACATTTGTAGGAAGTATAGCAGGATTGTAAAACTCAACTCTAGATCCCTCCTTCTGAGGTGGACTTCTAATTCTAAACCTTGGTAATTACTACTCTTACATGTTTATCTAACATTAGGGCCAGACCCATCTAACCTTAGCGCCAGACCCAGACTCATGATTCTTAAATGAGTAATGTTATTAACCTCAAACGCTAGCCAGTAAAAATAGAGATAAACTGTAAATTCAGACATTTTAAATTTAAAACTTGATAACTTTATTGCGGTCAAGTCATAAGGGATTAATCGTTCTTGAATTTCCTAGTCCCGGCTTTCTGATAGTATGTGGTCAAGACTCTGCTTGGTAAATGATTTGCATTTAATTGGACTGGAGAGAGGATTAGTGTAGGTGCACAAAAACTGATCCAAATATCTCTGACTGTAATACTACAAAAAAAAATGTGTAGTATTATTGGAACCTAAAAAAGTTACCTCATTTACTGACCTATGATGTGGTAAGTGATGAATCTCAATGCAGAAGTTCAAACAGATACAATCATAACAATACTATTAGATCATGTAACTACCACGTCATTAGATTAATTTTTTAGATTTCAATAGTATTACTTTTCTCAAAATGTTTTTCAAATTATGAGTTGGCTTAGTTTTAAATGATGCAAATTCCTTTTACATATATCATGTAATTGTAAGATAAATGATGCAAAATATTAGATGTTATTTTTCTATTCTCATTTATCCCTTATTTATTGAACATAGCATGGGAAATCTACAAGAAAAATGTATCACATGAACGTAGTCATAAAGGTATGCTACTTGAGAAATAGAATTACCACACCAAGGTTGGCCTTAATTTGCTTTAAGTGATCAAGAGAGAATGTCATGGTAGTTATATTGACAGGGCGGAACTGAACCCCTTCATCTCCGGATTTGATTGGTGTCCGATCATCTTCTACAACGCTGCTCTTCAAGATGCTCCATCCAAAATCTGATACAGTGTTGATCATACCAGATAAAATTCGCGGTACACGTCTGAAAATGTTGACGCTATCACGTTTAGGTTTGGAGCTCGATTGACGCGAAGGGAACGTCAAGGGAAGAGAAGGATTGTCAGCTCTTTGCATACAAGAAAGAAGAGCTCCTATGAGAGAATAGCCATCACCCAGAGCATGGTGAAGTTTGAATATCACATTCCCTGCTGCACTGCTTGTTGGGTACTTAACTATGTGAATTTCCCACAATGGTCTAGTTTGTGGTAATTGATCCATGCCTATTTTTGTTAAGTAGTCAGCCAAGTACTCGTCATAAAATTCTGGTGACATTCCTTGAGGGAAATTTGGGTAAATAAGATGGTCTTTAAGGTTCACTTCAACCCGCTTCCATTTCTTTTCTCCATCGTCATCTCTGACCTGCTCCAACNGAGAATAAAGCTGAGAGGGTCTGAAGATTCAGCAACACTTAACTTGGGTATAGGAATGTGCAGGAATCCGAAATTGTTCCCCCATGGCATCTCAGAATCAGGTTTAAGCATTTCACTTATTGACTTGTAACCTGCCACGGCTCTGGTGTTGAGCAGCACCAGTGCAGTAGACTCTGCATCACCCAACTCATGGCTTGTTGCTTGCATGTATAATCGAGTTCCAAGGAAGATTATTCCGGTAATCACGTCATTTATCGTCTGTTTAGAAATAAATTAATGTTCAGATGATGATAATCGAAAGAAATTCTATAGCAGAAGAAATATATAAAAAGATGACAAATAGTACCATGAAACCCCAAAAAGAAAGATATCCAAAAACCTAGCTAATAGTTAAAAACTTTCTTCTTTCTTTTTTTTTTTTGTTGTGCAATGGTCGGGGTCCAGGCCAGCTTACACACACCTTGACTAATTCCCTCTCTAGTTTAGTCAAAAACAGATCATTCACGCCAGAATTAATGCATTCACGAGAGATTATCCCTCGTGGTCTAGCCTTAAGGAGTTTACAAGGTTCGAAATCAGAATGTCTGGATTTACAACTCATTTTTATTACTAATTGAACTATCCCTTAGGTTAATAGGTAAAAACATCCAAATAGTAATTCTTGTACAAAAATCTTAACCTCCAAACCTGATTATTTGAAAAACAAAAAAAAAAAAAAAAAAAAAGAAGTTTTGACCCTCACGGTGCTATGCCTAACAGATTAGATTTTGTACCAAATTAGATTGATCTTAATTTGAGTCATATTTAAGAACTCTAATACGAGTTCAGTTTGATTATGCAACAAACTTCATTACCTTGGAGAAAATCAATTGTTCGACTTGAAAATCCAAGTTGATCGGGCATTGATATTTTTACATCCTAAATGAATGTGAAAATTGGATCAAAAGGTTCCATAAAAAAAAAAATATGCATGTTTGATTTGAAATGTGCAAAATTTAGAACATTTGTAGGAAGTATAGCAGGATTGTAAAACTCAACTCTAGATCCCTCCTTCTGAGGTGGACTTCTAATTCTAAACCTTGGTAATTACTACTCTTACATGTTTATCTAACATTAGGGCCAGACCCATCTAACCTTAGCGCCAGACCCAGACTCATGATTCTTAAATGAGTAATGTTATTAACCTCAAACGCTAGCCAGTAAAAATAGAGATAAACTGTAAATTCAGACATTTTAAATTTAAAACTTGATAACTTTATTGCGGTCAAGTCATAAGGGATTAATCGTTCTTGAATTTCCTAGTCCCGGCTTTCTGATAGTATGTGGTCAAGACTCTGCTTGGTAAATGATTTGCATTTAATTGGACTGGAGAGAGGATTAGTGTAGGTGCACAAAAACTGATCCAAATATCTCTGACTGTAATACTACAAAAAAAAATGTGTAGTATTATTGGAACCTAAAAAAGTTACCTCATTTACTGACCTATGATGTGGTAAGTGATGAATCTCAATGCAGAAGTTCAAACAGATACAATCATAACAATACTATTAGATCATGTAACTACCACGTCATTAGATTAATTTTTTAGATTTCAATAGTATTACTTTTCTCAAAATGTTTTTCAAATTATGAGTTGGCTTAGTTTTAAATGATGCAAATTCCTTTTACATATATCATGTAATTGTAAGATAAATGATGCAAAATATTAGATGTTATTTTTCTATTCTCATTTATCCCTTATTTATTGAACATAGCATGGGAAATCTACAAGAAAAATGTATCACATGAACGTAGTCATAAAGGTATGCTACTTGAGAAATAGAATTACCACACCAAGGTTGGCCTTAATTTGCTTTAAGTGATCAAGAGAGAATGTCATGGTAGTTATATTGACAGGGCGGAACTGAACCCCTTCATCTCCGGATTTGATTGGTGTCCGATCATCTTCTACAACGCTGCTCTTCAAGATGCTCCATCCAAAATCTGATACAGTGTTGATCATACCAGATAAAATTCGCGGTACACGTCTGAAAATGTTGACGCTATCACGTTTAGGTTTGGAGCTCGATTGACGCGAAGGGAACGTCAAGGGAAGAGAAGGATTGTCAGCTCTTTGCATACAAGAAAGAAGAGCTCCTATGAGAGAATAGCCATCACCCAGAGCATGGTGAAGTTTGAATATCACATTCCCTGCTGCACTGCTTGTTGGGTACTTAACTATGTGAATTTCCCACAATGGTCTAGTTTGTGGTAATTGATCCATGCCTATTTTTGTTAAGTAGTCAGCCAAGTACTCGTCATAAAATTCTGGTGACATTCCTTGAGGGAAATTTGGGTAAATAAGATGGTCTTTAAGGTTCACTTCAACCCGCTTCCATTTCTTTTCTCCATCGTCATCTCTGACCTGCTCCAACTTAGTTAGTACTTGGTATTCCAGTTTTTGGAACAAAAAAATTATCTCAAAAAACTGAAGACTTTTAAATGCATATTCACAAGCAAGAATGGAACCAAGAATTTATTCTAGATTGGGCAAAACATGAATTACAACATTCTGGAACATGACGTCCTTTTGAATCCAAAAAACCGTCTATATTTGATTAGTTTTGTGCTGAAGTTTCACATCGATTTCCTTTCAATGCACACAATCAAAAAGCTTATGACAAAATCATCATTCATTTTACAGCGAAATCTAACTGAAGTCATATTTCATCTTATTGAAAAATTGATTCTTTAAAAGAGTAGGAAAACTCTCGGATTAAAACATTTTACTATTTGTTTCCAACCGTCCTGCTGTTTTAGATCCAAATTAAACATTTGTTTTACTGGATTACGAGATAATGGACCATACTTTTGATGAAACGAAAAATAATTAATTAGGACCACTAGACAAATCTTCAAAACATTAAGGTGGTAATGTGTAAAATCTAACAGGGTTATGGACTCCCTCACACTATCCGCAATGTTATCAGAAGTCAATGGACGATACTGCCCCCACACCCTGAAACGTGGGTCCGTCCTTGTTCACAAATAAATACCCAAACAAACAAGATTACCTAATCTATGAAAAGATACTCTCAGCCCAAAACATTATGTAATTACACCTCTGACATTTTTTTGCCCAAGAAACTTGGTATTTGATTGTACTTGTTTGCTGTTCTGTTTCATCTCCTTTTTTTTTTTTTTTTCAACAATGAGGGTATGTAAGTCAATTTACGTACATCTCGATTGATTCTCTTCCCGATTTAATCAAAAAATGTCATCTGTACTGAAACTAAGGTATTTAAGAGAGATAAATCTATTAAGACTTGACCTTCAATGATTGACAAGATTCGAATTCAGTACATTTGAATTTACAACTCATCTTTATTATAAGTTGATCTACACTTAAGAGTTTGTTTCATCTATAAAAAAGGTAAAAAGAAAGAAAATATTGTGGGTTGAACTGCCAGTATTTGGTTCCTATCCATTGATCCAAAGCGGAAAGGGTTGCCACAAATTGGTTATGTGCAACAGAGGACCTAAAAAGGTGAAGTAAAATTCTATAGCAACCTTTTTGTGCATGCCAGAAACCCTTTTAAAAGCGACGTGTTCCATAAATTTGTTCATAGAAACAGTAATTTCTATCATTATAGAAACTTGTAATAAGTGCAACAATGAGAGGTCATGAAATGTTTACAAACAACCAGAAAAAAAAAAAAAAAAAAAAAGCAACGTGTTTCATAAATTTGCTTTTTTACGTTTTTTAAGTAGCATTTATTTATTTATTTATTGTTTTTTTATACAGGTCTGCTCATTGTATTCTATAGTAATACACATATCTATCTATATATATATAAAACAAATATTTTTCTTGTGATGATGCCTTTAAAAGCTTTTGCACCTAAAATACTCAATTCTCAAATTTTAAAATTTTTTAATTAAAAGAAAATGAAGTTCATCCAATTAACAAATATTATTCCAAAAAGTTCTAATTTTTAAATCCATAAAAACTGTATGTAGCTTTTATGCAATTTACCATTCCAATAAAATAAAATAAAATACTAACACTTATTACTTCTGCATGTAACTTGCTACTTATAGAGAGGAATGGAATGCTTCACCAGAATCAATCCAAGGATCTCGACTCCATACTCGAGATAATTGTATAAACAATTAGAGATAGGGTAGCATCCCTGAAGTTCAAGCAGCCTCTTCAGAATTAGTCATTATGACAACTTCAAAGTAACCGTTTAAGCAGCTAGAATACAAGCAAATCTTTGCTACTTTGGTTTGATTCTGCAATGGGTGTTTCTGGATCGCTTGCACCCCTTTCAGAATTGAAACTTGTAGAATTGGTCTTTGTTCCAATTCTTCCTTTTTTTTTTTTTTTTTTTTGTATGAGCAATGTTACGTGGATTTAAAAAAATAGATTTGATAATTACAACTATTGATTTCATTATGGGTCCAAGCATTTATTAGAACATACTCTCTATTCAATAGTTGTGATCAAATCTATCTTTTTAGTCCAGATACCATTATGCTTTTTGTATACATTTATATACATCACATGCCTTTTGTGTCAATGAAATTTTTAATTTTCAAAAAAAAAAAACTCCCTACTTGTCCCTATATTTTTGTAACACTCCATATCAAGTTCCAAGTCTCAATTCCTCCCAATAAATCTCTCTCTCTCTCTCAAACCCAAGTAGACAAATCATCTAATACACTAAGTAAATCTTCCTTAGCAATCACCTGAATCACATGGATTTCCAAACCAATGACTCCAACCATACTAATTTTGGGGAAACTAAGTAGGCTCATGGTTATCTATTTGAATATATCTATTTGAGCAACACTTTGGTATCTCTTTTACTTTTTCATTCAATTTTATTTTCAAAATTTTGTTCTTCACCTTCTGATATAAGAACATATAGGTTTTATATGAAACACAATTTAAAATGATCTTTTTCTTTTTTTCTCCAAATGAACCCTAATGTACATATATTTGTGTCATTCATCTACCAAGATACATATAAATCTTCTTTANGAAAAGGTCTTTTTCTTTTTTTCTCCAAATGAACCCTAATGTACATATATTTGTGTCATTCATCGACCAAGATACATATAAATCTTCTTTACAAAATAGCAATCAACATGTTCTTGTTTTTCAACAAAATTATCTTATGTTTCAAGTAAGTTACTTAAAAACGCGTCACTAAACAGTACAAAAGTTAAAGCATTGTTCTTTTTGGGTAGAAAGTTGGCGATCAGAAATGGCCACACTGAAAATACAGTTTTCGTTTTTTGATACCTGAAAACACTGAAATGTATGGCAAATAGTGCCATCCAGACAAGGAGACAGTTGTTCTTTACACAAAATGCATGAGGAAAATGTATTTTTAGTAAACTGTAAACCACAGAGCATTGATCAGTTTAGTGAAGGCTACACACACACACACACACATGCATACACAGAGAGCGAGAGAGAGAGAGAGAGAAAGGTACCATGATGGAGGAGAACCGAGGATTGATGGGTAAGAACACATTTTTGAGCAATGAAATGGTTTGTGAGTCATCGAATGGGACTGCAATCTCCAAAACACCGATGATAGTAAGAGATAACACTGAGCTGTTGAAGTATTGTGCAATAGGACTCACTGGTTCAGACACTTCTTCTTCTTCAAACTCCATTTCTGAAGTTGGTGCACCTGAGGTTCTTCCACAACTAACTTCTGCCTGTGTGTCTAAATGCATAGTTACTTCCGAGGTTGGCTTAGCTATATATGTGGTTGAATCTTTTTAGCCATATGAAAAGATATTAAATGTCAAGTAAACCAGCATTTCTGTAAAATATTTCTAATTTAATCATGTTTTTCCCTCCCACCTTTCTTTGTTGTTGGTATAGTATTTACTTCCACTCCAACAACTGGACCCATACAATAGGGTTGGCAATGGCCATGTCAAATTCATGTTGTACTATGTCTTGTTTCTTAATATCGTCAAATTGAGTCACGTTGTTGTTGTGTATATATTCTATTTAATTAAGTTTAAGTTAATTCATTGCTTAAATTGATTTGACGGATTCACCCATTAATTGTAAAATTTGGGTAAATTTAAATTTTTTATAAAAAAATTATAAATTGGTAATTTGTCATTATAGTACGGGTTGTAAACTTAAAATTTTCTAGAATCCGGATGACAAATCGGACCTCGCCGTTGAATTCGTCTTGCAAAATCTAGTTACTCTGTTAATTTTCATCAAATTTCAAAATAGTCAAAATTTTCACATTTTATGAGACGATCGAGGGTGACCCAAAAACGGGATTTTTAATAAAATTTTTGAAATTTGAAAAATAATTTAAGAAAATTTAAAATAAAAATATTTTAAACTTGAATCGGAGAAAAATTTAATCGTTTCGAGGTAAAATCGGACCCGAAAAAAATAAGATCGTGTCGCACAATATGAGCCAAGTATATGGAGGGTATAAAAAAGAGAATAAAATATGATTTTCTCCCATCTTTTGTTCAGCTGGTTAAACAATAGAAAAGAGGAAAATGAAAAGGAAAAACTTAAGTTCTCTACACTTTCTCTCTAAGATCCACAAGGATTAGTTGCTCAAACTAACTTGAGCCAAGAGGAAAAGTTATTTCTCTCGTCGAGAGCTACACAGCCATATCAAGAGGCAAGAGTTTTACCGAATATCAAAGAACGAGATTTTTGGAAAGCTAGGGCTTTGAGTTACAAGTGGGTCCTTGGAGCTTCTCAAGGCTATTCTTTACGCTTCGAAAGGTAAGGCTCCTTCCTACTCAGGTTTATTTACAACCTAGGATACTTATATGAAATGGGTATATGGATAGGATGTTATATCATTTGCCTATTATGGTAGATTTAATGAAATGGGTGTTGGAATTGGGGTAGAATGAATTTTACCTTGAATTGGATATGTGAAGTTGACTCAATGTGATTCATGGAAATTGGTATTATGTGGGCATGTTATGTGTTTTTATTATGCCTTGTGAATAGAGTGTGTTATTGGCATATAATATGTAATAACATGCTTGTGATGTATGATTGGATATAAAGATATTGATTTATGCTTATAGATACACAACATTGTGATGGATTTGGTAATTATATGCTTTGGATATAAATTGTCATGGAATATGTTTAAATGTGGTTAAATTTGCTCATGTGGCATTCTTTACATATCGGGTATGACATTACATTTGCATGGGAGAAACGTTTAAGTGTGGGTGTATGTATGCATGGTTAATATCAAACACCAAATAGGTGGATGATGGTAGGCTCAGGATAGTTGGATTGAAAATTCGACTGAGTCTCACGGTGATATGGATAAAGAATTGGGTCGGGGTTAGCAAGAAGGGCTAAACTATCCCTCGGGTGAGAGACCCAGTGATTGAAAACGCACTCTGTTAGTATAAAAGCCCATAAAGTGTATCGGTATATGCGGAACCGTTGGTGGAAGTCCATAAATTTCGTGTCGGTTGGGTGTCGTTGGTATAAGTCCATAAATACCCACCCCAAGAAAGACTCAGAGAATTGTAATTAGTCATTGGGTGTGTAGCGCCAATGGCGGGGCTTGGGAAGCCGATTTTTGTACTCAGGACATACATGGGGGAAAAGGAGCTAGGGAGGGCTCAGGTAGAGTTGCATGAGTGAGTCTCATCTCATTTCATGGCATGATTTGCTAAGATCTCAACATTGAATAATATATTTTTGGTTTGGATGTTATTGGTGGTAAAGTGTTGCATGAACATTCATATATACTTAGGTTAGGGAATAGCCTTGGTAGGAATACTCTACTAGGCGTGTCTCACCCTATATGGAAAAATATTTCAGGTGCGGGATATACATCGGTGGAAGGCCTTCACATGGGACCCCAAGGGTGAAGAAAGCCGGAATGTGACCTTATTTTGAGTTTTGTGAAACAATTTTGTAATTTCTATTTTGGTATGTAAATATATTGAATTGATTGTAATAGAACTTGTACAGATCATGTATTATATGAAAAACTTCATTATACATGTGTTGGATAAAAATAATATCCATAAGTTGGAAATGAAAAACCTGTGAAATATGTACAATTGGGCAAAGAGTATCGGTACAACGATGCCCAGTGGGTAAACTGTACAGGTACAGATGTTGACAGTACCGGTACAGTCTTGTCCAGAAGGCTCACAGTACCGATACAATAAAGTCCAGTTGGTAAAGCGTACCGGTACTCTTTTCAAAATTTTGAAATTTTAAAATTAATTTGTCAAGCCTTTGGGCTATAAGTTCTTGAGTTCCAAGGATGTAAATTGACTATAATGGGATAAGAAACAAAATGCATTGGATCACGATACGATTAAAGGATAAAATATACATGGGTTACACGTGTAGATTAAAATCTCGGTTAAGGGAGATGTTATTGACGCGACATCGGGTTATGCGACGATCACGGGTACTCGCACGGGTTGACAATTGGTCAACGGTTGAAAAAAGACCCCAAGTTTTAGAGGCGTCACATTAACCATTCTAATTTGTTAAGATTCAAAATTAAGTTTTTATTACGTGATCATGTTCGTGAATTGTTCAGACCTATACATCAAATCTACGACAATAGAATAACTACCAAATGAATAAATATTAAGTTACGACAATGAATCCTTAGGGGTTGGTAGCTGGCAAGCTTAGCTCTTGTTTTGTAGCTGCTGGGACATTTTCTAGAAGGGTCTTAGATCAACGACACGTGTCCTCGGGGCCGAGGTACTTTCTTGCCTCTGGTGAGGCCGCGTGTCCTCGGCCTCGATGACCCCCTGCATAAACTTTGCTCCAATACATGTCCCTTGGCTCCAGGACATGCCCCCTCGACCCTGAGGGTACTCTCTTCAGACTCGTCATGGATCCTTGGCTTCTGAGGAGACTAGTGACTGACAGCAAAGCATCCTAAGCTAGACTAGAGACTATGAGGACACTTTGCATAATGTAGTCAGAATGACAGATTAAACTGGACACTTAACCAAAGGAAATCAGATACGTGGCGTAAGGTACAGGGAAAGGGGTAAAAGGACAAGACTACCCCTGCTGATATGCAGCTAATAGAGACAGGCATTAAATACATCATCATTTGATAAGACGTTTACCACGGCTTGATAAGCCGAGAAGTAAAAGCTTTAAATGCTTAAGGATCCAAACATTTAATATCTCTACATTGAAAAAAGAGTATNTGGCTAGATAAGCCGAGAAGTAAAAGCTTTAAATACTTAAGGATCTAAACATTTAATATCTCTACATTGAAAAAAGAGCATTAAGTGCTCAGCAGGCTGGACAATCAATACCGGGACATTCCCCCATAAAAAGTAGGGGGCACACTGCCCCATCTCTGAAAGTTACCTATTGCCTAGATTACTGGCAATGATGAGTCTTGGAATGTATAATAGTCTTTAAAAATACATTGCAAAGGTACGCAAAATCATCTCTCAAAAATTTAAAATAGTATTTTCTTTTTTCCCTCTCTCAAAAAACTGACTTAGTCGTCAGAGGGGATACACCAAAAAATACTCTGGCGCCCTTCTAACTTATTTTCTGTGTTCTAGGAATTCTTTGCAAACCACTAGAATTGGTTCGACAGCACTGAAAACAATTCATCACTACTTCTTTGGCTCCATTTGGTCCTCTCAACTCATTCCTTGCTGCCGAATCCACCATCTCGACGGATCGGAACTCACCGTGGGAGAGATCTGTTCTCATTTCAACTATTGTGCAAAAATCTTCTCGCATAGTAAGTGATCACTACCTCAAGTTTTTAAGTTTGAGGATAGTGTTTGATGTTCTTGTTTTGGCGATAATTAAATATACACGTTTGAAGTTTGCTTTCTAAGCATGAGTTCAAAAGATGATTAGACATCTTGCGTGATAAAAAATGGTTGTTTGATGGTTTCAATTAGGGTGTCAAACGTATCAGGTTGAGTCATTTTGTATCGCGTTGATTTTGAATTTATGTCGAAAATCTCAACACCCGAACCTAATATATTTAATAATCGTGTCAAGATGTATAAACACTAACCTGACCTGACCATTAAATGAGTTATCCGAACCTGACATGTTTTATATATATAATAAACAAATCGTTTTCGGGTTAACACACATAACATGATCTGTTTAACACACATAACACAAACTTACTTAACACATATAACATGTGTTTTGCACTTGTTTATTACCATTAAATACACCATTTAATCATTCATCCAAAATTTTAAATAATTTGTTCACAATTAACATATCACGTCTTATTAATGAAATTAACTAAAATGCATTCAAGTTTCAATTTAAAAATTAAAATAAGAACTTTCATGATAATGTTAAAAATTATACTATCAAATACTATAGTAGAAACTAATGGACATTTGGTCTAATGGTACTTCTTATCTTGTGAAAGTTTTGTTTTCTTGAAGTTAAGGGTTTAAATCCCCCTCCTCTCCCAACAAAAAAAAAATTACTATAGTAGAAATAGGAACTAATAACAGTCATACATAATAGACAAATTATTGTCATAAACGGATTAAACGGGTCTACAATAAGTTAGGTCGAATCTATAAATTTCATGTTTGAATTATTAATTTTATATTTAATTTATATCGTGTTAATGTGGTGTCGTGTCAAATATTAACGACGCTAGTTCCAA